CTCTCTGGCATTGCCTACAAAAAGTGTAAGATATAAGCTAGTGTGGATTTAAACAATGTCCTAATGGCCATGTTCATGACCTAATGGCTATGTTTTTTTTTTAAATGAATACTGTGACTCTGACCACCGACTACTTATCACATCATTAAAGATCCCAACTAATAAAGAAGCAAGAGCAAGATGCAACCCCTGCAATGGTAAACCTCATAGACCAAATCTTGCCGCCATAAATGAGCCTATTGGCAAAACAACATTCATGGACTCTGTGAATGAAGACATCAACCAGAGGAGGACATACAAGTTATATGGAGTATCATTAAGGCATGCTCAAATTACAGACAATCTCAATAATGCAACAAACATGATACCTAAACTAAAACGTGACAAACATGAGATATACCCATGGGATAAAGACAACCAACTTCAACACTTGGTGACTGTACGTAAGGAACTCAGAGAAATCTAGATGCAGACAAGGATTGTCATCAGGAAAACCGAAAACAAATCCGGAGAAGGGTAAATTATCTAAGAAATGTATTCTACCACGAGTCTGCAATCAAAATCAATGACGCATCCCAGAATAGAAGAACGGTAGAACTGTGGAGAAAAGCTAAAGAACAAGGAGATATAATAAAGAAAAAACCGAATCCAATAACATGTCCTGGACTACATCAACACTTCAATCCGGATCAATCTTCTCTGTTTATGCCACAGGAGATCAAACAGGCACCCAAGTACATAACCAAACTATGGAATGAAGAAATAGGCATAGAGGACGGACCACCATCAATGGCAGAAATTCAAACTGCCATAAACCATCTTCGACTTACACATCTAGATGTGTATAAGAGACAGTTTGTCATCCGTGTCACGATCCTGGCGCTAAGGCACTCCACTAACACCAAAATTCAGGACAACATGCCAGGTGGCTCTTCCTGGTTTTACACCATACTTCTCATCTAGTAACAACCAACTTGATTTTGTCATCCCATATGCAATATTTACTTTGAAAACGGCCTTGTGAAAAACACATTTAATTTGTAATCAAGTTTCCTATTTAGTCATTATAATTATTATTATTAATCTTTTCCCACTCCCACCTAAATGCATTATTCTCTTTTATGCAACCTAGAAGTCCTCCAATTTAAAATGAACAATTCTCAGGATTTCCTACATCGCTTATTTGAGTATTACTACATGATATGGACCAACCAATCAACCCCCATTCAATGGGGAATGTCGATATATCTGTACTATCTGGAAAGGCAAAGGTAGCCCATTGGACCCAACTAAATATAGAGGTATCTCCATCTCCTCAACACTTGTAAAAGTGGCAATGAACATAATCCTAGAAAGACTTCACTATTTCTATGAAGACCAACTCTCGCAAACACAATTCGGATTTAGATCTGGAGTGGGATGTATTGATGGAATCTACATATGTAAACAACTGAAGTGGCCCACATTTCGCAGTGCAGATTGTATACCTGTTTTGTTGATATATCTGCTGCATATGACCATGTTCCAAGAGATTTCCTGTTCAAGTGCATCACCAATCGTATGCACCCATCACAATCGAAAAATAATATCCATATACTTCAAGCACCAAAAAAACACCAAAACTTATTCTTACTTAGCTCAAGAAGACATATCATCTCAGTTTCAAACCACAGCTGGTGTTTGTCAAGGTGGAAACGAGAGCCCAACACTTTTCAATCTGTATCTCGATTACGCCTTACTTGTATTCAGAAACAGATGCTTACAAAAGAACAACTAAAGGGATCGCAAATTAAATATCTTATCCCCGGCGAGGCAACAGACAGAGCTCAAAGAAGAATATCACCCATAAGAGGAATTTATGATGGGTGCGAACTAGGATATGCTGATGATCTAGTAATAAATAACTGGCACAGGGAAGACCTAGAGATCATGGTGAACCATCTATACAAAATCCTCAAGGAGTTTGGTTTGCAAATCAACATCGACAAAACCGAAACAATGGTATAGAATTGGAAGGAGGATGTCCATACCCTACCCAGACAACATTACCAAATTAGAGTCAACTAATCTCAAGAATTCAAAATCATTCAAGTACTTGGGTGTTTGGTGCTTATACAACTCTCTCCATATGGGGCATCAAGAAGTAGACTCTAGAATCAACTCAGCTAAAACAGCTTTTGCAGTAAATAGAAAACTACTAACAAATCACATAATCAACAAGAACACAAGAGTAAAATTCCTGAATGGCCTAGTAAAGAGCAGATTAACCTATGGTTGTCATGCTTGGCGTCCAGATATGGCTGAATTAAGAAGGATTGAATCAACCTACAATCACTTCCTGAGAAGCATGATCTATCATGGCTTTGAAAGAGTGCCCCCTCCATCACTGCACCATTCAACATCTAAAGGCCAACTCAGACAGCGTCGGCTGATGCAGCCTGACCGGATTTATCGTCGGGGACAGTCTTAAGCCGTTGTGAGAAAATAATATTAAACACACACCGCCCGACGCACACCATCGCGTCTGCATTTAACTCACACAGACCCGATGCGAAAACAAATCGCGTCGGGCTGCGTCGTACGACGCTTTCTGAGTTGGCCTTAACAGTAAACCAGATGATCAATCTGATTCGGAGTCTAATACTGAAGCTGATTGGAGATACCAAATAAACAACGAGATGCTCTTCAATCTCACTCAACCAAAGCCCATCAACGTCAACAACAAAAGTGGATTTTCCATTGCATAAGGATGGGTAATGATAGTGTATGCAAAAGGCTAACTTTCCATAATGTTGCAAGTAAATGCAGAGATCAGCCCATCCACAAAATACTCCAGAGGGCAATCATACACAGTCAAGTAGACAGAAAACAATTTATAAGAGATTGCTTTTCCCGAATTCATTAGCTGCCAATTGTAATAATAAAAAAAAAAAAATTTCAATGGTCCACCAAAATATTGTAAAGCCATAGTGATATATCAGACTCACTCTCAACAACCAAATCAGATTACTAATTTAGTAGCAATGAAGTCAACTGGTGTCAGTCAATGACGGCCAAATGTACTCTTGCAAGAGACGGCAAAATTCAAGTAACAAGTAAGTAAAATGAGTGTCAAGGAAAGTAAATACGATTGTTGGAAAAACATTTTATTTTTATTTCTCATCCTGACCTTCGCCTGGGCGAACTGGGGGAAGGTCTGGATCCGCGCCTGATGGTCTACCATGAATGAAAGGCTTTTAAAAAAAAGGCCATCTGAAATGTAGCAATCCAGAGAGCTTTGACCACTGCATTTGCTCTCAGTTTCTTTTCTTCTTTCGGAGCGATAGTGCATTTGTTTTCAGCCTAGCTTCAGTTTCTGTGAATGGAAAAAAATGTATAAAATAAATAAATATGATTTGATTTCAATAGAATTCAGTGAATTATAAAATGTAGGCAAAAGCCTGAAACTAAAGAGTTATTTGTTTTTGTCTTTAATTTTGTTTTTATACATATATAATATTTCATATTCTATTTTCATTTTATAACAAGTTATTAAAATTAAATATAAATCAACATAGGGGCCTAGGCATAGATGAGATTAGTTTAAACATAATAAATCCTTACCTAAGATAGTATAATACATACTCCAAGTATGTATTATCATGTCGGGATTCAATATTTCAACATTAATTATGTCATCATCAGGAACCTTACCTACTACAGTACTAGCTATTCATTAATATTATTACTCCAAGTATCAAATTGCATGCCATCATGATGGGATTTAATATTTCGACATTAAAAAAATCATCAGGAATCATTCCTGATGATGACTAATTAATGTTGAAATATTGAATCCCAACACGATGGCGTACATTTCGATATTTGGAGTATGTATTATACTATTTTATCATAAATTAATCAGTGGACCTTTCAGTATAATAATATATGGCATATATAATATAATTTATATACAGCGCATAAATGCAAGCCACTTAAGGCGTCGACAAGTTCAAAATTTTACAGAAACTTAATTCTTGGCTAGGTAAAGAGTCAAAAATGTGTGTTTGAGCAGCCCTCTAGCCCTACTCAGACTCTTATCCAAGTTAAGCCTAGGTAGGCCTAGGCTAGAGCCTAGGCTAGGTGTAATTGAATGTTTCACCATCAGAACCATCCATATTATTTACGTGCCAATAACAATTGTACAACCAACCCTGTCAATCCTCTTATCAAAATATAGGCCTAGAGGAATCCGACTGGTTTGGGTTCCATACGCCTGTCTACAGTTGCCTGGGATTCGTATAGGATAGCATCAAGAACTAGCTAGGCCTAAGGTAGCCTAGCAAGGGCCAATTTCAACAGTTAAAAATAATTCAATTAATTTACTCTATTTACATTAATTTGATTATTATAAAAATATATTATTAAAAGAATACAGTAAATTAGAGAGGCTATCAGACAAAATACAAAATACAAGTATTAACAAAACGATAGTTTACCAAAAAAAGTATTTACCAGGTACAGTATGTCTGGATCAAACTGTTTTCCAATTTTTTGAATAGCTGTTGGCTCTTCGCCCTATCATGATAGGATCTGCTTTTGGTATCCAACAAACAGGAGAACTAAATAGCAATGCAATGAATTTTTCATTTTCTTTCGTAGAAAATTGTTGTGTTGACATTTTTTCTTCAGAAAAAAAGTAATACGGCGAGCTTGCTCGCTTGTCAAAAAAAAAAAACACTGTGATTGGCCAAAATAAAAAATTTGACAACTTTTTGACACACGACATCAAAAAAAGTTGAACATGTTCAACTTTATTTGATACTATTTGATAATATGTGAAATGACGTCATCGTACCCATATATGGGCATATCACATTTTTTTGTCACATAAAATTTGATAGTGTAGACAAAGCTTAAGAAAATTTATAGATTATGCTGCTACTGTTTGTGCTGGAACAACTGTTGCCGCTTCAACTATCTTTGCAATATATTTGCTATCACGTTACCCCATTTCGTACCTTCCATTGATAACAACCACTAGTAATTCCTGTGACAGCTAAGCCATAGCCCCTTCCTCCTGATCCATGCACTAGAGTGCTGCCTTCCTCAACACTGCAGCAGACAGCCTTTTCTGCATCAAAAAGTACATCTTGCATGGATTGGCTACATGAATCGTCTTCATCCTCAGCATCCCGGCTAACATGCTCAGGTACCTGCTCAGGCTTCTGCAACTCTTTGAGAAATTTCTTCTTGGCAGCAGCGATCGGTGTCGACCACATACTCGCTGAGATGTTTGTTAATAATACTTCCACCACCTGCCAAATTATAAACCAAAAATCCATAAAGCTTTTCATATACAATTCTAAAAAAATACTTTTCTGCTATGGATAAAAAACTATTAATTTCGACCCTGCTGTAATCAGTGCATACTGGGCTTGAAAACATTTTCAGTCCTGGAACAGTTCTATTTTCTGTGCAGGGGTGTATATTTTATGCAATATTCACAAATTCATTGCAAAATGCTTAGTTTATTTAGGTTAATATTATAAGTTGAAATACGTATACCTGTGACTGCTGAGTCTGATTCAAGCCTACACTGTGGGATAGTATGTAGTCCAACAAATGTAGTGCTAGTAATTGTGTTCTCAGATTTTGAATGTGAGGAAGAGCTGAAAAAGCAATAAAATGCACAAAATTGTAGAATCTAGAAGCAAAACTTACACAATACAAACATAAACCAGAACCCTGCGGGTGTGTACGTTCCTTTGTACGTAAACATAATTTAGAGGGATTTGTGATCCAGTAATGGTTTCTAATGTTTTTACGTACACCTACACCCCCATACAGGTCAGTCCATCAAATGGTGTATATTTACATACCTGCCAACATTCGAATATCAAAAATAGAGACGCTATTTATTGATGACAAACAATTGTAAGAATTAAGATGGCAATTATCCTAATTCCTGTACAGTTGCTTCAAACAAAACAAGAGTTACTTCATTTCAAGTGTACTGCTTATTTACCTCACAACCAACACAAATATTTAAGTTAAATTTTATTCAGTAGGTCTACAGTTCACCATGAAGGGCACAGCATGTTGCTTGGGCTGATCTCATTGGAGTCACAACGTCAATATTTATTCGAATGCAGGGGGGTCCCCGACGGGAGCGATATGCCCTGACGAGGGGTCAGATTTCCCCAACGAAAGCTGCGACCCTGCCCCCCCCCGCTGGGGCCACCCCTGTTCGAATGACACTTGGGCCTAATAATCTCTGTTCAACATTTCCAGCTTGTGTGTCATTAAAGTACTTTAAGTTTTTGTTGTCATGCTTGCTCGAAGCTTCGTCTTGTTTTTTCAACAATAGAGAAAACTCTCACAGTCACTACTGCTAAAAAATATTACCATAGTTCCCCGGGTAGAACTCCACCCCGACTTTACGCCCAACTTCGCGTACAAGAAGTAAAGTCCTAGGGTCTGACCCCGGTATTCTTAAAACAAACTTTAGTCGTAGTTCAAGCTAAAACTTAAATGACCCGAACCTCGACTAAAATGATACCTCCGCGGGGAGATTTTTTTAGTCAGCCTAGGGTCAGGCTAACGCCCGTATTCTTAAAACAAACTTTAGTCGAACTTCGAACTAGAACTTCATTTAGTGCTAGTTTCAACTTCAACCATAATTTGTATTCACAAACAACGTAGTCGAAGTTTTAACTACGACTAAATCAAGTCCTAGTTTTAGTTCAACTGAAGACGACTGGCAAGCAACAACTATCAAACTAACCAATGAAAAGAGCTAATTTTAATAGCAGACAAAATTTTAGAGATGTATAAGAGACAGTAGACTCCCCGTCAGAAACAAAAATGTCGGGAAAGTTTGACCCGACGCATGCGCAAACCAAATTTTCGACTAAAAAAACGACTCAAAACTGGTGGTAGGGGGTATGCTTTATCGCCTACAACTTACATTTTATATCTAACCGAAAAAACAAACATTTCTTGCACAATTACATGTCCACCAGCAACTATCGAGCACAATGTATACCTGCCGCGATGCACCGTTTCGGAGCCTATTTGTTTACAAATATGCTGACCTCTTTTGTTTGCACATCTCATACACACATTTTACATGTGAACCATTACATTAGTTCCATGTGACCTAAGGTCACAAAGGAACTAAAAATGAAAGAGTAGAGGTGTTTTGGATAGGAGAAGTATGTTAGCAATGGCATCTCTAGAAAAATTTATATAGAGGGCCCCAATGGAAAGCTTGGTTGGGTTATTACACCCTTGTTATTAATTTATTGAAATAAATAAAGAGGTGTTGATGAGTAAATGAGGTAATATAACGTCATTTTTAATTACTTTATAAATTATTTATTTATTAATAACTTCTACTGATGCAGACCCCTCTCCTTAGATATGCCATTGTATAGTATGTTATTTGAAGCAAAAACCAGTCTGTTCAACTTAATGCTTTTAAACAAAAGCAGTGGTGATACATACATTTAGCACAGCATTAAGAGCAAAATAACATTGGCAGTCCTACCTGTTGTACTGTCTTGACCAGTGATGTGTAATAGTAAAGTAAGCCATTCATCACTAGCCATCTTATTTGCCATAATCAAGGATGACGATGACACTCGATGGAGAAAGACTAAAAGGTCACCTAACGATGACTCTGCCATACCCTTCAATTTCTTGCTAACATGGACGCCTTTGAATAAATTTAATTATAATATTTATAATTTCTAATAGCTGGGGAGTTTATAATGTCTGGGGATTAAAGATCGGTGTACGGTAAGAATGGCCCCGATAAAAATGGCCCCAATAATCAAATTCTGTATTAAAACTGATTTTCTTGAGTCAATATATGCATTTTTCTATCTTAAATAATTTAGTTTTTAAAAGGAATCTAACATCAAACAAATTGCCATTTACATTTTACTTTTTGCAAGAATTAATATTCAATGATAAAATATTCAAAGATAGATAAAAAGCCATGAATTACACTTTTTATTTTTTTTTCCATTTAAATGTTAAAAAATAGCAAAATTATTAATACTAAAATAATTTACTTGTGGCCGATTTCACGGAAGCGAAATCACAATTTTCCAAAAATTCAATCTGTGTATTGGTAAACCCCACAAACAGTGGGTTAGTATGAACATCAAATTATTTTTTTTTTTTTAAAGAAAAAGAGAGTTCTACAATCATAATTATATGGTTTAGATGGGGTTTTGCAGTGTGTTTAGAGGTTTGTGGTGTATTTTCAAGTATTTTTTTATAAAAAATCTAAATTTAACCAAAAAATAGTTATGAATGTATTTAATTTTCTTATTGATATACCAAGTCAGTCAATCACAATTGAATTGTTTGATTTTCTGCAGTGTGTTTTGAGAGGTTTGTGGGATTTAGCAATACCACTTAATCCTACCATAATCACCCTACCCTCACAATCACACGTCATTTTAATTCTTAGCATAATTGCCATACATAGCTATATATAATTCTAAGCCAGTAGTAGGCATTTGGATTTAGTGATGAGTAAAAACCAAGTATGCAACTAAATTAGTTGCTTAAATAAATGTATTCCTAATGATTCAGTTTACTAAAAGCAATACTTCTTTGAATAAACTCTAAGCAGACAATTTACTGCTAAGTTTGCGAGAAAGTAAGACTCTCCCTTTTCCCATACATGAACTTGTGATTCAAACACACAATTGATCCACATGCTTTAACTACTGTTTATTTACATTGTTTATAACATGTAAAGTTAATTCATTTGATATTCAACAAAAGTGAAGTTTGTGGTTATCTATGAGTTGCATATTTTGGTAGTTGAAGTACTGTATACTGTATGTCATTCCTCTACTTTGTTAGTGAAATAACGTTTTTAAAACTTTTATTTCTACTATCAAAAAATGTTACTCAATGGCCATTGTTTTTCGATTATCTCTCAAAACATTATTTGCATCTGCTGTAATTGTTAAAAAACAAATGCGTTTAACATGCTGTTACTATCCCATTTACCAGCAAACCCTTTAAAAGGGCATTCAGGCGGGTTGGTGAACCAGGTTTTGCCAGAATCTTATCTCAATAATCCAATTAAACATCAAAGAAGAATACCTCTAC